GGGGGAGGGGTGGTCTCTCCTTCCCCCTCACAGCTCCCTCCCCCTTCCAGTGGCCGTAGGGGCAGCAGGTAGGGTGGAGGACCTGGTAGGACCCTGTCCGTGGCCCAGTGAAGATGTCCTTTAAGCGGACCAGCGTGTCCAGAGCCTGGAGAGTGGGCAGCTAAGCCCTAAGCCCTGCCTTCGGAGGGGCCTTGCCTTCGGGGAGGGGCTAAAGAGAAAAGCCTGGTTCTCTGGAAGCTAGGGGGAGAGACATGTCAGGAGTGCCCCCCCTCCCCTGCCCCCCCAAATACACACACCAAGGGCTTGGCTGAGACGTGACCACCTGGGCAGGGTGCGGTGGCCTGGGTCAGAGGACAGGAAGGGTCCCTGGCAGCAGTCCTGGTGACGGGACTGTAGACTACAGAGCTGGGAGGGTTGCAGGCAGCTGACATGCAGGGAGACATCTGGATGCGGTGTGTGTGTGTGTGTGTGTGTGTGTGTGTGTGTGTGTGCTGATTCGATGGTTCCCGAGCCCCCTCCCTCAGCTCCCTGTTGTCCCTTCTAGAGTGGAGCAGCGCCGGCTACAGTGTCCACTCCCGGAGGGCTGGGGCTGGCCATCTTGAATGTGCCTAGACTGTGTGAGTGTGAATGTGTGAGTGACCATGAGTGCAGGTGTGAGTGTACGAACGTGTGTGAATGTGTTTAAGGGTGTGCTTGACTCTGAGTGAGCTGGTATGAGTGTGTATGAGTGAAGGCACGTGTGAGTTCGTGTGCATGAGAATATGTGTACGAGCCCGAATGTGAGATGCATGTGAATGTGATCCCACACATATGAGCCTGTGCGTGCATGTGAATGTATGTGAACACATGGGTGTGTAAGCATATATGCATGTGATTGTGGGGGGGGCATGTGAACACATGTGAGCACGTGTCTGAGCACCCATGTGAGTGCGTGGGAGCACGTGTGCAGAGAGGGCTGGGGCGGCACCCTCACCTCTGGCCTCGCAGTCCTGGAAGGCGGTGGCGCCCTGGAGCCTGGTGAGCAGCCCGCCTCCACAGGGGAAGCATCGAGTGCGGCCCGGCTCCGGCTGGTAGGTGCCCACGGGGCAGGCCTGGCAGGGCTTGAAGCCATCAGCGGAGAAGAAGCCGGGTGAGCATTGGCCTGGAAGTCAGAGGGCAGGGCTCAGGCTGGCAGGGGACACTCAAGTCTCTGGGCCTGGCCTGGCCGGGGGACCACACAGAAAGTCAGTGGGCATGGCCTTGGCCAGGCTGACTTTGCCTCCTGGCAGCAGGCAGGGTTCAAGGGCAGGTGGCCGAGGCCATGATGCATACTGGGACACGTGTGCAGTGCCAGGGCCTGTACTTCAGGGGGCTCTCCCCAGGGGTTGAGGGCAGGACACAGCAGGTTTTCACAGGAGGTAGCCCGAGAAGGCTCAGAGCTGATCACAGCCCTGTCCCAGAACAGGGAGGATTTGCAGGGTCCCCAGATGGGTTGTAAAGAAAGTTCTAGCATTTTGTGGGCTCTGCACACGGCAGTTGCCCCGAGGACAGCAGAGAGCAACACCACATGCAATGCTCTGTGACCCCAGGGGCCTTGGTGGAGGGGAGGGGCCCTGCCCCCTGCTGGGGCCCAAACTCACCTCCACACTCGGACACGTTGCGGGTGCCTGCCAGGCCGAGCCCGTCGCTGCTGGGACAAGGTATGCAGCCGAGTTGGCCGTCCATGTCCTGGTAGGTCCCTGGCGGGCAGGGCACACACTGGCCACGCTCGCCGCTGAAGTGGGTGCCGGGTCCACAGCTTACTGCAGGGGCAGAGGAGAAAGGGCTGGGGGGACGTGCCAGTGGCTTCCAGGGCACGAACAGGCCCCAGGCTGCAGCCCCGGTGAGCATCTTCGCCCTCCTCAGGATCCTCCGAGCCCCTATACTCCTGCCTGTGCTTCTCGGGGGCCCAGCCTGGACCTCTCTCCTGACTGGTGATGTCTGATGTCCCCTGCCCCAGCCCTGTCTCCTGGCCTGCTCACTGAATGGCCTCAGACGTCTCCCCCCAGCACCCATGGTCATTTCACCGCCCCCCCCTTCCTTGCACAAGGATATGGTCAGTGTGTGTGTGGCTGGGGGTGTGTGTGTGTGGACTGGGCAGGAGGGCCTGGCAGTTGAGGATGTGTGGCCCTAAGTATGTGGCTGCAGAGAGAGCCGGTGTGCTCGGGAGATAAGGGCCCGTGGAGCAAATCCATGCTCGGATGAGGAGAGAAAAGAATTACTGAGCAAGGGAGCCAGCTTCCTCCCTGGGAAGATGGGTCAGCACCTGAGGTCACGGGCTCGGAACGGGGAACTCACAGCTGTGTGGAGGACGTGGTCAGTGAGTGAGGGGCCCTGGGCAAAGGACCCAAGAAGATGGAGAGCCCACTGGCTGACTCAGGGACAGTCTGGCCACCCAGCTCAGTGAGGACAGGACTGTACGGAGAGTACAAGTGAGGGGGATCAGCTGAGAGCTCCCCACCCCTCCCCTACCAGACAGGAGCCCCCACTCCTCCCCCAGCCTGGAGCCTCACCGCCCACCCTGGGGTGAGCTCTTTGCAGGAGGCTACTGTTCCTCTCACATCCCTCGTGCCTCTCTGTCCCCTCCCTGGGTGGCTGCCTTCCTTGGGTGACAGGGTGGGGGGACAGAGAGGGCTTGACGAGTCCTCTTCAGAGGGGCCACTGGTGGGGACTCACCGCACTTGCCATCCTGGGGCACCTGGCCCGGGCTGCACGTCCCCTGCCCCTCCATGGCCTTGGCCACCCGCTGGGACACTTCGTACTCCGTGCCAGAGACCTGGACGTAGACCTGCTGCCGGCTGACTGACTTCCGCAGGGCCTTGATGACGGCCTGTAAGCTCTGCTCCGCCCGCTTCCGCACGCAGTCCAGCGTGCAGGAGTCTACAGAGCAGGAGGAACTGAGGCAGGGCGACTGACCCACCCAGGGGCCCCTGCCAGAAGCCCCTGGTCCCCGCTGGGTCATGCCACCCACTCTCTCAGCAGCCCTGGGGGAGGGGCCTTGGCTCTGCTCATCTGAAGGATGGGGAACGTGAGTGAGGCTCGGGGAGGTGGGGCCTGAGAGCTGACACACACACAGGCCTCTGTCCACAACATCTTGTCAGCCCGAGAGCACGGCCCATGGGGTGGAGACTCCTTGCCGCTCAGCCACTGCCCCCCAGGAGAATGGCCTGCTCTCCGGCCTTTAACCTGAAGCCTGTCCTATTGGGCCTGCCTCATCAGCCAGCTCCCACCTCATGCTCAACTCCACCCCTGCTCTTTAACTTCCATGCCCTGGCTCATATTGTCCCCCCTGTCTGAATGTCCTTCCCTCTCATCTCCTCCAGCCAATGTACTGTGACCTCTAGCCCTGCCTGACGGGCAGCTCTTCTGTGAAGCCTTCTATGGCCCCCCACAGGGAGGCCCCAGCTTTGTCCCCCGACCCCCTCTGGTGCCTCTGTGGTCCCCTGGGCCCTCTCTTCAGCCCAGGCAACTGTCAGGGATCCCTGCTCCCCTCTGGCCGCTGCCTCACCTACCTGACACCTCCTCCACCTTTGGCTCCACCTCGAACTCTGCGGTGAGGAGGGACACCTCCTTGGAAGGGGACTTGCGGCCGCGCCTCCTCTTCTTGGACGAGTCACACTTGAGGGACAGGAAGGTCACGTGGCCATGGTCTAGACAAGGGAGGGGGCTGCTGTGGTGTGGAGGGGTGGCCTGGGGCAGGGTGCTGGGTCCTGCCTAGCTGTGGACACAGAGGGACTGGAAAGGGGCCCACCATCAGTGGAGGTGGCCAGGGCTGGGGTGGGCAGGGGGCCGGGCTAGGCCCATAAGTCTCGGCACACGGGCACCCGCACCTATCTGCCAGGGAGGCTGTCCACCACCCATGGGCCTGTGTGGGCCTGGCTCCCAGACTCCAGGTGGCTGCTCTGAGCTGCCCACTGGGTCAGGTGTGAGAAGGGATCCCAAGGTCTCCTGGGATCTTCCCGGGTTGGGGGCGTTCCCATGGCCCACCCTTGTCCTGGGATGTCCTTGTCCCAGTCACTGGAGTTGTGGGGTACGTCCCTCTCGGGCAGGCTGCTGAGCAAGCCCTGCTCCGGGTGAGCAGGGACAGTGCCCCCCCCAGGGCCCTGGACACCCACGCCACCCCCCTGCTCCCTGAGCTGTGGAGACTGCCCCTCCCAGGGAGGCAACAGGCTGGCCACTCACCCAGTAGTGGCTGCCGGGGACCCTCCCTGGCTCGCTCGCGGCTGCGCGGCCGCAGGTGGCACTTGGCATCTCTGACCTTGAAGCGGGCCTTCTGCTTGATGGGGGGTGTGGGGGCATCTGTGGAAAGCCAAAATGCCCCCTGGCGGTGGCCTTTCCTGCAGGCAAGGAGGGGTGGGGACGGAGGCTGCGTAGGTCGTGTCTGAGTGTGTGTTGGGGCCACCCGGGACAGGTGCATGGGGAGCTGTAGTCATGGGGAGCTCCCTCTGACTCAGCAGCTCCCCCTGCCACCAGAGTGGGGGATCCCCATGCAGGGCCCAGTGGACGTCAGGGCAGTGGGGTCCATGAAGCCCAGGGCAGTCCTGTCTGGCAGGGGTCTTCTGTGACATGTGTTATGGAGCCTGACACCCTTAAGCCCTCCGTGACCCCCCACCCTGTGCATGGCTGGGACTTGGCTTCCCTGTGTGGGGTCTCCCCCCCTCCCCCCAGTGAGGCGCTGGCCATGAAGCCCGGGATCACCCAGGTGTGTGGTCCTGGCAGGCAGAGGGGCTACCTGGGCAGCCGGGCCCGGAGGCGGGGCTGGAGCTGTTGGCCTTCGGCGGCATCTTGCCCTGGAGACCCGGGACACCACAGCTCAGGATGAAGCTGCTCTCCGAGTCTGCAGAGGGGTTGGGGGTGTGCGAGGGGCCGAGGGGGCACCTCTTTCCCAGGCCTCCCGGTCCCTGGGCCTCACAGGGGCCCCTGAATAGGTTGCAGGTCGGGCTGGTCCTCGTAGTCTATGCCTTTGGCCTCCACGCCACTCGGCGAGCGAGGGCAGGGCAGGAAGGAGTCCTCGGATCTATGGGGTCCGGTGAGTGGGGCCGGGGTAGGAGGGTCTGGGTCTGGAGTCAGCCCCCCCTGGGGAGCAGCAGGACCCAGGCCAGCTCCCAGCCGCGGCAGCTCCTTTACCTGGGATGAAAAGCGTGGGGGCCGGGCAGGTGACCAGGCAGCTCTCCACACCACCCGCCTTGCTGCAGGACAGCTGGGCCCGGGGCGCGGCCTTCGCCCGAGAGAGGCACTTGCCTGTCTCTGCCGGGAAGGGAGACAGGGTGGGGCCTGAATGAGGGCAGGTGGAGGCTCTCCCCACAGGGGCAGACCTGTTGGAATTCTGTCCTGGCCACGCTACCTCAAGGGGAGGGCCAGAGCTGCCAGCGTCCAGAGCCCCGAGCCCTTGGGATGTGTGGGACACGACTCAGAGAGCTGGCCGCCTCCCCACCCCACTCAGACTCTAGTCAGGGTGTCTGTGAAAGGTTCCCAGTCCACGCCCCCAGACCAGGGGCTCCCCCTGGTGGGCTGGCTTCTCCAGGGTGGGTGCCCAGGGGGAGACAGCCCCCTTACACTGTCAAAAGTCTTTAGACAGGAAATAGCTGAGGAATGAAAATACATGGGGGACCCTGCGAGAAATACAAGGAAGCTGGACCCACGGCCATCAGGTTGGGTCCGACTCTTGTCGACTGACCCTGAAGGACCGAGACAGAGGAGCCCTGCTCCCAGGGTGTGCCCAGGCTGTCCATCTGTACAGGAGGAGACAGCCTCATTCTATCCACAGGCGGCTGCTGGTGGGTTCGAACTGCTGACCTTGCAGTTAGCAGCCCGGCGCACAGCTACCAGGGCCCACCTAAATAAACACAAGACTCAAAGTCTTCTGTTGCCCAAGGGCCATGAGCCGGCGGTGAGGACAGGGCCACCAGAAGGGCCCGAGAAGAAACAGGACAAGCACCCCACATGCTTCCAAGGGATGTGGCAGCAGACCCAAAGAGCATCATCAAGAGATGCAGGGGGCAAAAATCTTACCATAGTGAATGATGGGGGTGGGGGTGGGGTGTGCGGAGTGGAGACCCAAAGCCCATTTGTAGGCCACTAGAGATCCCCTTGCAGTGGGGTCTTGGGGAGGAGATGAGCCGGTCAGGGTGCGACGTAGCGATGATGAAAAATACAACTTTCCTCTAGTTCCTAAATGTTTTCTCCCGGCTCCCGCTATCATGACACGAATTCTACCTTGCAAGTCTGGCTAGACCAGAGGATGTACCCTGGTACAGATAGGAACTGGAAACACAGGGAATCCAGGGCGGATGAGCCCTACAGGGCCAGTGGTGTGAGTGGCGATACTGGGAGGGTAGAGGGAGAGTGGGTTGGAAAGAGGGAACCAATTACAAGGAAGTATATGTGACCTCCTCCCTGGGGGACGGACAACAGAAAAGTGGGTGAAGGGAGACGTCGGACAGGGCAAGATATGACAAAATAACAATCTATAAACTATCAAGGGCTCGTGAGGGAGGGGGGAGCAGGGAGGGAGGGGAAAAATGAGGACCTAATGCTGGGGGCTTAAGTGGAGAGGAAATGTTTTGAGAATGATGAGGGCAATGGATGTACAAATGCGCTTTACACAATTGATGTATGTATGGATTGTGATAAGAGTTGTATGAGCCCCTAATAAAATGATTTTAAAAAAGAATAATAACCCACTACTATGAAAAAAAGAGATGCAGGGGGGCTGCCACAGGGGGCCCTGGGCTCTCAGTGTCCTGCTAGGAACCCCAAGAACGCAAACCACTGCCTGCCTGCCTTCCGGGCCGGGCCATCCCAGGGCGAGTTACAGCAAAGGTCCCTGCAGGACAAGGTGAACACTTCACCTGAGACCAGTGGTTCTCAACCTTCCTCATGCCATGACCCTTTCCTACAGTTCCTCATGTGGTGGTGACCCCCAACCATAACATTATTTTCATTGCTACTTCATCACTGTCATTTTGCTACTGTTATCAATCATCATGTAAATACCTGATATGCAAGGTGTATTTTCATTGTTACAAATTGAACATAATTAAAGCATAGTGATTAATCTAAAAAACAATATGTAATTATAATTCATGAAGTCTCATTTTACCTCCAATACTACTGCTCTCAACACAGCAGCTGCTCTCTACACAGTAGCTGCTTTCAACACAGTAGCTGCTCTCTACACAGCAGCTGCTCTCTACACAGCAGCTGCTCTCTACACAGCAGCTGCTTTCAACACAGCAGCTGCTCTCTACACAGCAGCTGCTCTCTACACAGCAGCTGCTCTCAGCACAGCAGCTGCTCTCTGCACAGCAGCTGCTCTCAACACAGTAGCTGCTCTCTGCACAGCAGCTGCTCTCTGCACAGCAGCTGCTCTCTACACAGCAGCTGCTCTCTACACAGCAGTTACTCTCTGTACCTGTGACTGGTCCGCTTAAGTACATTATGGCACCAACCCTGTCACAGACATGTGTATTTGTATAAGGTGTGTGTGATGGGGTTGGCGCGATGATGTCATCATTCAGGAAGGGTGGGGTGGGGCGTATCTGCATGTGGGTGCACCTGCCTGGAGACAGATAGAGGAATGATGTCTTGGTTCCTAAGACCATTGGAAACATGGGTTTTCTGATGGCCTTAGGCGAGCCCTGTAAAAGGGTTGTTCAACCCCCAAAGGGGTCGCGACCCACAGGTTGAGAACCGCCGCCCTAGACCCTAGCTTCCCAAACCTTCCTCTTTCCAGGACAAAAACTACTCAGCCCACCCTCACCCCAGTCACTGAAAGAGGTGGGCTCTCGCCCTGCACCCAGGATACAGCCCAGGTGTCTGCTCTTGTCGCCCTGCTGGACTGTTCCAGCAGC